GTTGTATATATACAAGCGTTTAATAATTTTGTAATTAGTTACATTGGCATTCTTAGGGGACATGCATAAATTATGATAATCTCACCAAATTTCTTTAAAAATCTCACGTCAACTTTTGAGTTTAAAGAATATGTAATTTAATACAATTTTGGGCTAGAATCTCACCTGAGGGATAGTGGGGGGTCTACCACATCTCACCAAATCTCAAAAAAATACCTCACGTAATTAATGGATAAGATAATATTATCTATAGATATATATAGGTATAGTGTATAGGAGGAGGTGCATTCCAAAACTCGGCTTATCCATATTAGTTGTTTTTGAGCAAAATGTCAAAAACCTTACACGTGAACACTAACGCATATCAGGCCAACACAATAATTTCAAAAAAAAATATATATATATAGGTATAAGTAAAACATTTATATTTATATAGGTATAAGTAAAACATTTATATAAATACCTTCATTAAAAAGGTATAGCTCCAATTTAAAATAATTTAAAATTACGTATATGCCAAGTTCTGCATGATATACCCAATAGATAAGGCAAGTTTTGGAACGATAATCAATTTGTAAATGAATTTTAAATGGAATAAGGTTAGTTTTAGATTATTATGAATTTTTCAGAGTATAAGGGGATACATGGATAAATGCACGGACACCACTAACTCATTTTTATTAAAAAATGGATAAGCCGAGTTTTGGAATGGACCTCCTCATTTATACACTATACCTATGACAAAATGTTGCAAACTTAAGGGGACATCCATTAATTACGTGAGGTATTTTTCTGATAATGTTGACCCCTCCCTACCATGGTGAGATTTGGTGAGATGTGGTAGACCCCCACTATCCCACACGTGAGATTCTGAACAATGTTGACGTTTGGCATTACAGCTGTAATGCATGTTGTGCATAAATTTATCCTACAGTGACCTGTAATTACAGTTACATACACTGATTTCGAGCTAAATGCTATAGATGTACCGCTCTTCCCTTGTAATTTCAATGTATTTTCATTTTTGTATGGCGGTTTATAATAATTTGACTTTGTTTTTCTATATAGACGAGTAATATGAAAACTGATAATTGATAAACGCTTGAAAAAAATCTTACATTTTTAAATAGGAGTGTAGACTGGCTCCAAGATTCTTGCAACACTTTTTGAACAAAATTTTGAACGTATTCCACAATAATATTTATTCAGCATTAAAGAAACGTGCTCATTCATTTGCTATATTTGAAAACTTAAACGAACATAAACAAGTTAACTACTCAAAAATAGTAAATAAACGTTTTTTTAAGGATTTATCACAAATGTACGTAAAATCGAGTGTAAAATAGCATTTTGATAAACTTTCTGTTTGGACATGCAGTTATGTAAACAAAATCACGTCCATTGGTTTTAATGATCCGTTAATTTATTCAGCTTTATTTTAATTTTAATTGGGACATTACATCAGTCACAAACAACATATTTTTATCTAATATATGGATTTAATAAATTAGATTAAATGCTTTTTTAACTCGTTTTATTCTCTTTGAGATAAAGTAAACAATTTTTAATCTTATTACAAAAGAGAGAAAAAAATTATGAATTGTGTTAATTATTTAAATCAATATTTACAAATATTTAGATGCTTAATTTACAAGCCGTATCAATGTTTATAAATAATTTATATAATAATAACACAAATGCATAAACTATAGTATACACACTTTTTATTAATAGCTTATAATTAATTAAACATATATCTGAAATAAATATTTTATAAAAGTATACCATATAGGGTATTTTAGTAATTTTTTATTGTTTCTGTGCCTGCAGGTCTAGATCCATGGATAAAATACATGTAAAGGGTTTTCCATTTAAAGCGTCATAACTTTAACCCTAAAAATAAGCCTGCTCTGGAATGTAAATGTCAAATCTTGACAACACATGTATTCAGTACATTGTGTCAAATTAATATGGACAGATAACAATTTAACAGCGCTTAGAAATAATTCGTATTTACCATCAAAATGCATGTTCGGTTTGCCAAACATTTTGCAAGTTGCGAGAAATATAATGTTTATCGTTTAAGTTAGAAAAAACTGGTTTACTGGCAAATAAGTCAACTTTTGTGCATCTAAAGGATCATGTGTAATCTCAGGTTTACAAAAATAAGCCACGAACAATTCTCGACCTTAAACGAAACATTAAACGCACTATTCAAAATATACCACGCGATATTTGTAAAAGAATAGTAGAAAATTAGGCCTTCAGAATGCATTCAGGGGTTATATACAGTTAGAAGGCCGAAAAAAAGTGAATTTTTCAGAAGTTTTTCTGAGAAAACTTTTAAATTTATTGATCCAAAAATTTATACACATATTATGGTATCTTTTAACTATATTTTAAGACTTAGTACTAGTAAAAATATTTATTTGGAAAAGAGCTACAGCTGATCTCCGGATGCTCCTCTCAAAAAAGACGTTTTGCGGTGACCACTATAACTCTGAACTGGATCATCTGAATTTAAAAAACCAAACAGATTTCGTTAAAGTAATGTTTAATCTAGTAATTAATCGAAGGAATAAGCAAAATAAAATTTTTTGACAAAATGGCGGTTTCTCAAAAAAAAAAATCGATTTTTCACCGAAATTTCGGCCTTAAATTGTTTATAAAAACAAAAATATTTATCGGAGAGAAAAAATCTTCGATTAATTACTAAAAAATATATTTAAGAAGCTCGTGTTAAAATTTGAGACTAATCGGTTTAGCCGTTTTCGAGTAATGTTGGTCACCGACTTTGAAAACACCATTCAGAGAAAAACGCGTTTAAAGTTTGGAATGCAGTTTACATGGAATACAATTTTTTATTTTTTAAATTACATGGAGTCGTCTATTACAGACCAATATAATACACCCTGTTCACACTGTTGATTTACACATCTAAATACATTAGAAGGGAGCATTTACAAGGCAGGTGCATAAAAGGGTAGTCGCTGCCTCTCCGGCCTTGTACTTCCAAGCACTCTGAAACGCCTTTTCAAATTTGTGTGTAACTTTGAAAATATTCACCGGAACGATATGAAATTTTCTGTGTGTATTCTTAAATATATGTACATTAAGAAAATAAAATAAAAAAAAATTCGGTGTTTTGAAAATTCTAACTGTATGTAACCCCTTCAGTCAGGCAAAGTCGAGGGGGACATTTAAACGATATTATTTTTAAAACATAATGTCATCGATCGTTCTTCAAAATAAAATATAGATTACGGGATTATAACATGTAGTTATTTTTTTATCTCATTTAAAAGTTCTGACGCTCTAAATGAAAAACCCTTTATAATGTGTATTACTGATATAATTTTAATACTAAGGTGTCGGGGGCCCCTTTGATGGCGGGGCGGGGCCTTAAAGCTCCCTCCTTAATACAGGAATGGGTATATCTCAATATTAAAATACAATGGTGGTTTGTTCCCCATTTGTTTGTAAAAGTTATATAATGACTGGAATAACCTTTGAAATCTATATTATTAATGAAAACATAAAATTCGGGTTTTAAGGTAATAAATCTATTTATTTTAATCAGTATCTGTTGAACCAGTTCCTAAATAAACGAATATGCGGTATTTTATTCAGAATGGTATTATTTATAATTAAATTATGCATGAAGATGTTCACAGCTTGTTTCACACTTTCCCGCATTTCCAACGATCTGATTACGCGTCCACTTCTTTTATTGTCTAATGTTATATTTAAGTTGAGAACAACTTTATGTTTTATGATAAAAAATAGCACTGAAGTATTGAATATGTACCTAGTTTATGACGCATGTTTATAATTATATTAATAATCTTGTACGTAGGTACTGTGCATCAAACGATATTTGATATTCTTTTGACGTATTTATGAATAAAAATTGTTTAATAATTATTTTATCTCATTGTTAAGCTCTTACTTTAGTTTTAATAATTATGAAACAAATAGTCTGCGTATATACTAAATAAAAAATTCACTATTTATGTTTTATACTAACTTAAATCATAATATTATTAAATAAGCTGATTTTTCATAACATATTACTAAAATTAAGCCCCATCGCAATATGTTTGTAAAAGATTTTATAAAACAGGGAACCCCCAAATTACTAATACTGGAAATGCTTACAAACTTTTTTATTCTCAACAAAGAGTTCAAGATTAGTTTTGAAAAAATTAAAAAATAAGAAATAAAAACATAAACTCTGATTCACATAATTTCGGGAATTTCAAAATAAACAAAATTTGTTGTATTTAAAAAATAATAACAATGCGTTGTGATTCCCATAAAATACATATAAACATTTTGATATAAATTTTCTTATTTGATTTGCCTCAAAATTAAATTATGTAAGTATATATGTTTGTAATATGTTTTGAGTTTATATATTTATATATGGTATGTTAGCTAATTTCGTCTTATTATCTGAAAATATTACAATATACATATGTAGGTATTTTTTGTGTATACAGGTTTTAATTTAGAACAGAAAACATACATAATATATTATATTGTATTATTTATAGATATCTCCATAGGGAATCTCAATTATTTGTTGTCAAATGTCAAGGTGGGACTTTTGGGTGTGGAGCATACATTACGTTTATGTAGGTATTATTAAAAGGGGATTTAATATTAAACAAATATTAGAAATATTCCCCAACACCAAAACAAAACACAAAGTGCTTAAAGTACTTTTTGCCAACGATGTTGGCATCTTCAGAAGCGAAGTGTTACACTTTGCTTCTAAAAATTATTTATTTTAAAAACTAATGGCAAATTTGTATTAAAAGAAGATTAAAACCATATACCTACGGTTCAATTAAAACTATTACTATTACAACTATAGAAAGGGCATATATGGTAAAATTATTTTTTAAATATTTAAAAATTAAATAGGAATGTGTGTGGTCAAAAAGAAAAGTTTAAGTACCTAAAAGTTAAAAATATAAATTTAAAATATTTCTTACCATGTCCATGAAGTGTAGACAAAGAAGGCAGAGAATAGGCTAGTTCAGGTTCAATTTTGACTTTGTGGAGATCGTTGGATAGAATTTCCTGGAAAATAATAAAACCTATTTTATTCTCTGTTAAAAAAATATAGTCAAATTAAATGTAGGTCAAAACTTAAACATCTACCGCGTCAGCTAAATCGGCTTATTATTTTTGTTTTAGTCAGCATTACTTAATTTCTTTATAAAATAAACAATCATCATGGACACCTTACAACATTATAGATTGTATCACGTTTCTGTTTATTTTTGTTTAACTTAATATTGTACGAAATACTTCCCCAAGACCAATTTATCAAATAATATTTATTATAATAATAAAGCAAGTCGCATTACTGTAAAATGTTAAAAAATACACTCCTTCTGGAAAGAAAAGGTGTCAGTATTTGTTCCTATTACATAGTATATATTTTATTGCATTATATATAATATATATACAATTTATTCTTATTTAGACAGTTTAAATCGATATTAATAATATGTATATATTTTTTAAAATAAATGCAAATTCAATTCATAATATCTGATGTGGGATGAGACAATCGACCTAACTAAACCCATTTATCGATTTAAGCTATAACACAGAATCCACCGGAAATCAGATGGTACCATTGTGATAGAGACAATACAACAATAAAATTAAAAAAAAAATTCCCAAAATTTTAATATTTTAAAATGTACAACATTTCCAGGTGATTTGTGGATTGGTTTAATGACCCCTTATTTTTCCCTTTTAACCACGCGAGCAAAGCAAAGCGAATACAGCCAGTTTTTAAAAACATAATTTCCAATAAAATGAAGTATAATTTCGGCATCTAAAAATACATTCATATTGATAACCTATCAATGATAAGGACTGAACTGTAAATAATTGTCATGAAATAACCTTCATTTCTTCTTCATAAGCCCATATCCGACCTAACCCAACTGCTGCTGTTGGGTCGAGAACTCTAATAAAAACTGTCTGGAACACGAAGTTTTAGAGTCCTAAGTCTCCTTAGGTCTTAAAGACAGTGGTTTCTCTAATTAATATTTTTATTTCGAGTTACAGAATTCTGCACTTAACAGTTTAAGTTTATTTACAATTTAAATCGTTTATTCAATGATTTAAAGTCAAAAAAATTCGTTGGGTTAAAAAACTACCAAAAATTTGGGTTTTTACTAAATTGGTTACTTTTTTATTTTGTTTCACCAGACAGACGACTACCCAAATCGACCAGATCTACAGTAGAAAATCTACTGCGTTAGCAACACTTTTTTGGGTAGTTTTGACGCGCTTGATAAAAAAACACCATAATTTTGCTCAATCAGCTCTTCTTTTTGCAATATTTTAAAAATAAGATGCAAACATTTGTATTCTTACAAATGTTTCTAATTTAACACGGTAATACCTTGTTCAAAGGATCTTTTAATTCTCTTAACGATTCTGCAAAAAAATATTTTAGTTTCTCTTATTTTTATAAAAAACGCATTTAAACAGTAGCAACTAGTAATTGTGATAAAACAAAATAAGTAAAATCGTTTATGATTTTGTATAAAAACTTAAGATTTTATTCTTGTAAACCTCATTGCAATTATTTATGTATGTAATCTACGCTGTTAACATTAAATATGGCAAAATTGTTTAATTTATAATTAAGTCATTTTGTAATTTTGTAATGTTTATGTTGAAATTTTTTGTGAGAAAGTTTTTATCAATTCAATAAAAAACCTTTATTTTTTGTGGGTCATATGGTAGGTAACGTATCTGATTACCAGTCAACAAAATCAATTCGTCAGTATTGTTTCTGTATGAATCTTTTCGTGAATTGGGCTTTTAATTTATAATGCATAAAATCGAAGTGCCTACAGAACTGCTGCGAAGTTCCGAGTGGCACCACCGCATTATGCATTGAAAGAAAATGGCTTTGCTTGGGTTTTTCTGGCAAATGAATTGGCCGAAGAGGTTAGAGTGGCCCAAAAGATCAACACATTTAACCCCCTTGGACTTTTATTTATGGGGATACATGAAGTCGTTAGTTTATCGGAAGCTAATAAAAACGAGTGTCTAGAGAAGTTTATAAAACGAGTTGCATACTATACTTTATCTGCGTGACAGCTCTGGCACTTAGTGCCTACAGAACTGCTGCGAAGTTCCGAGTGGCACCACCGCATTATGCATTGAAAGAAAATGGCTTTGCTTGGGTTTTTCTGGCAAATGAATTGGCCGAAGAGGTTAGAGTGGCCCTCAAGATCAACACATTTAACCCCCTTGGACTTTTATTTATGGGGATACATGAAGTCGTTAGTTTATCGGAAGCTAATAAAAACGAGTGTCTAGAGAAGTTTATAAAACGAGTTGCATACTATACTTTATCTGCGACGAAAAGAAATAAGAATTTTATGCCAATTTTAATCCATTCATATTTGACATCTGACGAATTTAATCTCACTTTTTCGCAATTTATAATAAAGCTAACTTCAGCCCGTGACTAAAACGCCACAAAGTCACAGCTTGTCAATGTGAGCGTAAATAATAGTATATTATACATCAAGTTTGATAAATGCCATTTTAGCCACGACTTTAATTTAGAAGAAAAGTTTATAACGAGTTGCATACTATACTTTTTCTACGACAAACACTTATTATTATCTAAAAATGATTTAAATTGAATATTTGTATAGAGCGACATCTATGAAACAATAGAATTACCAACTTGAAAATGTGTTTTATATCAAATGTCAAATTTTGTTGTGTAAATCAAAATGTATCGCATGAAAATAAACCGTTTAATAATAATAATAATATAATAATAATAATCGGATATAGAAAGAGTTTATACAGTGAATTTAAAGTAAAGAAAATGTTTTATTGGCACTCCACATTGGAGTATTTACCCGAAATGAAGTTAATGTAGTTTACTGCCGGCAAAATTAAAAGATCAGTAAAATGTTCATATAAACTTTTCAAATATTGGCGCTGAGAAACTATTTAATACTTTTGTATTTTTGGGTTGAGATATAAAAATAGTTTTTACATGTAATTTTATTTTACAAGAAGGGCACTTTATTTTAACGATTGAAAACTGTCAAATAACTTAAAACTAACTTTAGCCCGTGACTAAAAACCAGTTGCTAACTTCAGCCCGTGACTAAAACGCTATAAAGCCACAACTTGTCAATGTGTATTTAAAAGGCCACTTAGTGTCATGGAAATATGTATAATAATTGGCGTTTTAAAGGTGGGAGTAAAAAAAATATTTTACATCACATTAATTATTGCACCCGTTTAAATGCGTTTTAAAATAAGGAAAACAAATTTTTTGCAGAATTATTTATTGAATTAAAAGACCTTTTGAACATGACATGACCTATAGTGCCATTGAAGATTTTAAAACCCTCGAAACGGGTTTTTCAAATTTTATTTATCGATTATCCTTTTAAAGATATAGGCTATTGACAGTTTTCGGTGGGACACACTGTAATAGGTATTAATGTTAAATTTGAAATTAAACATCGTTTTAGTTTTAATGACTATTTACCTATTTAGTAATCGCTCAATTATTTTATAGCGACTAGTTTAAACAAAACAAAAATAGTTTTCCGGACCATATTTTAAAATCAGTAAAAGAAAACTTCCCTAGGGTAAATAATTTAAAACTTAAAACTAAACTAAAAATTATTTACTCTCTTAAAATAAATTAGTCACTAATAATTAGTCAAATTCTACTAAATAAAAATAGTCAAATTAGTAAATTTAAATTAAAAAAGTATTGACCCAGCCAGGTTTTAAACTCGGGAATGTCTCTTGTCAAGCGGATCTCTGACCGGTGCTCTACTGTCACTTTTATAAAAATTAGTTTTATTTGTCTATAAATATTGTTAATAATATTTTAAAGCTAAATATCTTTTTTGTGCTGCTGTTTTGAGCTAAACTTTTTGCATCTTTGTTTGCTTTTATAAGGGCCATTTAACCATGGAGCCGATATGCATTTAACTGTAACAATAATTTGTTGTTGGCCGCAAGAATTAAAAACGAAACGAAACGAAATTAGTTACTTTTTACTCCCAGAAACAGTAGCTACTTTAATAGTAAAAAATAACTATTTAAAAGTGAAAACGACTATTTTATTGGTACCCAAAACAATGCTGGTACTAATTTAAATAGTAAAATTTCTTCTTTCGTAGATACAGTATAGTATGCAACTCGTTTTATAAATTTCTTTAAGCCCGTATTACAGTCTGCAATTCTACGTTCAATAATCCTGCTATTAATCACTTTTTCTATTAATCACTCTCTCGCAAGCTTCGCTCGTGCCTAATAAAACTCGTAACTAAAATGGCCTTTATAAAACTTGATACCTAATTTACTATTAAGTAATACTATGTGACAAGAAAGACTGTCTGCGTTGGCCGTGTTATGCTCAAAAAACTGTTTATAAACAGTATTGTTAATTATAATCGTGTTATAAATCATGTTGCAAATGTTAACATTTAAGACAGTTCAAGAAAACCTTATTTTAAAAAGCGTTGATTTCATATTCTCTATATTTATGTATGTGTGTGTTCTAATTAACTTAAAAAATTATACACATTTTAATTAAAGTTAAAATAAAATCGTTTTTATAGGAACTCTCTTGACTTAAAGTTTCGATCCCGAGCTTAATTTGAAAGATGAAAATTATAGTTTTAATCAAGCAGCATATTTTCTTGTATCAGAATCAATGGATATTCTCTACTCGAAGAAAAGAACCATATAAAGAGGGATTCTTGAATATGATATTTCCTATTTCTTTTTACGCAATCAAATTTTAACTCCATTTATCATTGGTCTTAATAATTATTGGAGACTTTATGAGTAATTACAAGCATAAACAATAAAATATTTACTATATTAACAATTGATAAACGATTATTTTCAAAACAAATAAAATAGTTTTAAAATAATAATTATTAAAAAGAAAAGCCGACAACTATTTATCAGATTATATAATTTATTAAAATATATAATCTACAATTTTAAAACACTTTTATCAAAAATGTAAGATATTATTTTACAGCTCAAAA